TTCTAATAAGAATTTTTTTTTGAACTTATAACCTCGACGTGATGAGTTTAAATAAAAAAAAAATTATTTAAGTAAACTTGTTAGGTGAACATGATGAGTTTATCATGCACTATAGCATTTATCGTAGATTTCAAATTATTTTTAGAGATGGCCTAATATACCAATTTTTATACCGGCCTATTGGGCCAATTTTACCCTAATCTGATTTTTAAGTGACCATTTACGTATCTACAATGTAATTAGATATAGATATTATACAGTTATATTATATTTAAATAATTATTATAGTTTATGAGTTTGATTTGTTTTTTAATTATATATATAACATGCATATTTTATATAAAAATTATAATATTTCATTTTAAATATTAAAAATTTACACTAAGCTTTTCAATTAAATGGTTGGTTGTCCCTTGTTCACATATGTAATGGGATAAGGGGAGGTAAGATAGTAGGCTTCACCTAACACCAGGTTGAGAGCAGCTTCTGTAGAAGACCTCCAAATTATTAGATATTAATGACTACATATGAATACTGTTCAACTATATATTTATGTATTTATTTATACATGCATTGCATTTTTATCTATATTTTTGATTTTCTGACTGCCGGAGGTTTTCCACGGAAGTTACGTTGGGACAGCCTACTACCTTACCTCCTCTTACCCTATTGCATATGGGAATTGAGTTTTGTTGTTGTTTCCAATTAGATGGTTCCTGAAGATAATTTTGATTTATCAATCTTGAACATTGAACACCACATAAATGATTCCAGCATGAGAAGCAACAAACCAGAATTTTGCTCCACCACTGTTCCAGAAGAAGCATAAGCGATGGTGAACACGACGAGCATTATATGTTCAACGCAGGGTTGTTGGGCAAGCGATAAGCTTCGGCTTTATGGTGGCGGTGGCGGCTTTTTCCACCAGGTTCCGCTGCCGATGGATAGACTCGAAAGCGTGCGGGGAGTAGTGAAAGCTCTGGGGCAAACAGGTAGAATCAACTCTAGATATAACACAAGTTCCCAAAGCAGTGGCATCAGAGTTCTCAACAGATGAAGTGCCAAAACAGGTGAGGTGAAAGAAAGAAAAAAAACTAAATAATTTTGATATATATGAAACAAGAACTTCATCGGTGCGGCGAAACATGCAGGCTCTGGATGCTCCGGCTTACGATGAACGGATGTTAGCGAACTATGTGCCGGTCTATGTGATGCTTCCGGTAAGTTTCTGATATGGCGACATTTTTTTCTAACTTGCATATCAAGCTACTAACTATATGTTTCTTTCTCTTGCTCAGTTGGGAGTTATTTCAAATGATAATGTTTTCGAAGATAGCCGAAGATCGAGAAACAGCTCGACTAGCTGAGAGCGGCTGGGGTCGATGGGGTAATGGTTGATGTTTGGTGGGGGATTGTGGAATCGAAGGGACCTAAATGACACGACTGGAGTACTTATAGGAGCTTGTTTGCACTCGTTCAAGAATGAGGGTTGAGCCATTATGTCATTCCATCGATGCGGCAGTAATGTCGGAGACGGAGTTACCATCCCACTTCCGAAATGGGTGCTCGACATTGGTGAAACCGACCCTGACATCTTTTATACCAATTGGAGAGGTAACCGGAATGAAGAATACCTCACCATTAGTGTGGATCATCAGCCAACTTTCGATGGAAGAACCGCTATCCAGGTTCAACTTCAGGAGCTGTCCTGCAATGGTTTTCACCGTTGAAAAAGACATAGATTGTTGGTTTTTGTAGATGTACAACGACTACATAAAGAGCTTCAGGGAGAACATGTCGGATTTTCTTGAAGCAGGGCTCTTAATCGACATCGAAGTAGGGCTTGGTCCTGCAGGGGAGCTTAGATATCCTTCTTATACCGGAACCCAAGGATGGGTTTTCCCTGGTATTGGAGAATTTCAGTGCCATGACAAGTACCTCGAAGAGGAGTTCAAAGAGGCAGCCCGATAATGCAGGGGAATACAACGACACGCCCGGAACGACAGAGTTCTTCGGATTGAACTGGACATACCTGACCGAGAAAGGGAAGTTTTTCTTGACTTGGTACTCGAACAAGTTAATAAACCACGGCGACAATATCCTTGATGAAGCTAACAAAGGTTTCTTGGGGTGTAAAGTGAAGCTAGCTGCAAAAGTATGTCTCACAAGTCTTGAAACTAAAAACATTTTCACCTAAAGGCTTAAATCTATCAGCATTTTCACTTGCTATTTTGTTCAAAACAGACAGCTGGAATTCAATGGTGGTACAAGTCTCCTAGTCATGCAGCAGAACTAACTTCAGGATATTACAATTTGAAAGACCGAGACGGATACCGGCCCATCGCGAGGATTCTGTCGAGGCATTATGCCATTTTCAATTTCACATGTCTGGAGATGAGGAACTCGGAACAACGAGCCGATGCCAAATGTGGGCCTCAAGAACTTGTTCAACGGCTGAATGCCCCTGCTGCAGCTTACATAGGTAGAAATCAATTCCTTGTCTTGCAAGAAAAGTGCCACCATTTTCCTTTTGCAAATAACAAAGTAAAACCAAACTTATACTGAGAAGGCGGAATGCGAATTCATCGATCGCACGTCTGTATAGCAGGTTCTGAGTGGATGCTGGAGAGAGCAGCTCGAAGTAGCTGGAGAGAGCAGCTCGAAGTAGCCGGAGAGAATGCATTATCGAGATACGACATTAATGGTTACAATCAAATCCTGTTAAATTCTAGGCCTAATGGAATCGACAGAGACTGTAAACCGAAGAGAATAATGTACGGGGTCACATACCTTCGTTTATCGGAGGAGCTATTGAAAGACAAGAATTTCAAGATATTCAAGACATTTGTAAAGAAAATGCATGCTGAGCAAGTAAGAAACATTTACATCCATGGATACTCGCCAAAGAAGAAACAATCTTTGATCATTTTCCCCCCTCCTTTTTCCAGGATCATTGTGCAGACCTGGGGATGTATGATCACGAAATAGGTCCATTGGAGCGGTCAAAGCCGAAGTTTACGACGGAAGATCTACTGGAAGCAATGAAGCCGATGGAGCCATTCCCTTGGGGAGAAGAAACAGACATGAAGATTGATGATTTTGAGGGTGTGATTGCTGTTTTGATAAGACAGTTGTTTTCCATGTTCAAGTGAGACCAGATTTCCATCAAGGTTGAAACTTGGAAAATAGGCTTGGCTTTCCATACACATCCGATTGCAATACAATGCAATTAATTGGTGGACTGCTGAAAGATGTTCTGTTTGGCACATAATAATAAACTGCAGACAGGAATAAGGGAAGATTTCGGGTTTGAGTTTATTGTCAAATGGTTGAGAGTAGTTAGAACATATAATACTTTGCAATCACTTTAGCTTAATCAAAAAAATAATAATGTCAGGGATGGACATTTCACTCTGGTCCAACCACTCCTGACTCAATTCGACTCTAACAAAATTAGATTGGGTAAGTTTTTTATTTTACAAATTTGAGTTCGTATCAAGTTTCAATTTAAAGTGACAAAAAAAAATCAATTAGACCAACTCTACATATTATTATAATTATCCCTTCTACATTTAAAGATAATTATAAAAACACCCATTTTGTTTTAGTTCTTCACTTAGGTCGTTATTTTATCCAATATATATAGTCTAAGTCATATCAAATTGAATGTGAGTTTTAACCTAAAAATTAAATCGAATTTCTAATAGGGTGAAACACTCCCGAAATTCCAATCGAGTGATGATAATAAGGTTTAATTTTCGGAACAAATTCAGATGAGTCAAAAACCTGACTAGACCTATAATTATCCTAGTTAATACCCACATGTTCAAATATTTACGTCACGTGCAACAATGACACACGTTTAGTATATAATATAGTTCGAAAAGTAGTCATGACAAACGGACGAGAACTGAACCATATTTTGTTATTTATGTAAGCCTAATTTGATAGGTTTGGTTTATTAATACGAACCAAATATGATATATTGATATGTAAGGGTTTTGTGTATATATAATTCTAAATATATAAATTATGAAGTAAGTCAATTATTTGTTTTATTTAATAATTTTATAAGAAAAATACGAATCAAATTATCTCGGTGATTAAAGTAATGGTTGTTATTTATTCTTAAAGATCTCGGATTTGAGCATTAACGAATGTAACATGGATGATTGAGTATTTATTATTAAATAGATGAAAATATTTAGAACAAATACTAAGTTGTAATCACCTTAGGTTAATAAAAAAATTATAAGAAAGACATGTTATTCAATTTTAGGTGCTCTTATATATATATATTAAATCAATAATCAGAGACAAATTTAGAATTAAACATAAAGTAAGATCAAATTACTAAAAAAAAAAAAATATTAAATATTTAAAATTTAAAATTTTATAGTCATAAACTGTACTACTACATTACTGGCCCAAATGTAAACAGACTCGTACTACTGGAACTTGAAACTTAAGAAACCCCAATGCGCCATATTCATCATCATCGTCAACTTTCACACGCACAAAGCTCACTCAAATCTCCCCTCAGGATGTCACTTTCTCTCCCCCATCATGATCAAAAACCAAATCTGCAAACCCTAAACCTCGTGTTGGCCATTGGTACAAAACTTCCCTTTCCAACCAAATACATGCAGATGTATAATACTGGGAAAGACCCGGGAGATTGAACCGGAAACATCATATTCTTTAAGCTAAGCGAATGGATAAAGTTAAAGATGATTATACAAAACTGTTCAGGCTTTAAGAGAGAGAGAGAGTGCAATATACCAATATATATTCACCATAAATGGAGATGATAAACCAAGCAAAGCAGAAAAACCCCTTAATTCTTGCATTGGTTTAAGCTATGTATTAACAAAAACTGGCACTAACACTTTGAGGCTAATACAAACCCTGGAAAATGTAACAAAAGTTGCAAGAGAATCCGTAAAATCATTACTGATTATGCTATATTATGGTAAAAAGGGCAATAGAAGTATGGCTTCCGTTTTCTTCATCAGTTAATATTACCACAGAGGAACTGTTGGAGCACCGTTTTCATCTCTTTGGCCTTGTGAAGCGAAACCAACTGCTCAGAATCAAAAACGCAAAAACCCTGTGAACAAAGCATGGTCTGCGCCACGAGGGAGTTGAACAGGACCCGCAAAAGCTGTTGCCGGTTCAAACTCCCAAACCCATCAAAGCCACCACCAGCATTAACATGCTGAGCCGACGAGAAACTGGAAGTGATGGGCATCGATTGGAGAATGGAGACTTGAGCTTGCAAGAACCGGACGTACTTATAAGCCTCTTGGAGCATGGTGCCGGTGTCCATCTTCTTGTCCCACGGCATTAGCTTTTGGAGACAACGGGTCTTCTCGCTCAGCTTTTGCCTCATCTCCCTCGCGAGACGGCTGTATGGGATGATCGGAACAGGAGCAGTAGCGTTGAAGCTTTTCACGATGGAGTCGAGGGTTTGAGGGTGGTTGTTTTCGGAGTGGGAAGGGGCTAAGTCGAGACGACCGCGTTTGGGTTTGGGAGCTGATGCGGTGGGAGAGGCGGGGAGGGGAGGAATACGGTGGTGGAGGGGGCGGAGGTCATGGAGGAGTAAAGGGCGGCTGTTGTTGTTGTCTGTGTCTGGGGTATCAGAGGAGTAAAGGGAGAAGTCGAGATCATTGAGTTGAGAATGGTGGAGGGGAAGCGGAGGGAAATCATGGTCTCGGTCTTGTTCATAGATAAATGGGAGGAGGGGTTGGAGATAAGGATCGTTGACGATGATGTTGTCAAACTCGATGACACTGGAAGTTAAAGGCGAAGGAGGACGAGAGTGAAGTGGATGAGTAGTAGCCGAACAAAACTAAAATGTCTCCATTTTCATGGTTGCAAGAGCTTGGTTTCCGGGGGTAAATGTTGGGAGAGAGATGGAGAAGAAGATCACAAAGGGAAGTTATAAGAAGGGGAGGGCACCTCGCCACCTGTTCATTTGGCAATTGGGTCGGAAGTACGAATGGTGGCCCTGATGGATGAAGGCGGCTACACGGGAATCAAGGATGATCGGCCTGCCTTGTTTGTCTATAAATGACACATCCGGTCAGGTCCGTACAATCTCTTTTTTGTCCATCTTTATCCCTCTCCCCGAGGGGGTGGGGGTGTTCATGTACGTGATTTTATCATTGCCGCATAGTTACAAGGGGCATATGGTCTGGAATTTGCACATACATGCTGGGACCAGAGCTTAAAAGGACAAAAGATGATGACAGTAATTAACTGGTGCACCAGTACACAGCTCCAGTGCTGTCACACTGCACTCACCGTTAAATCTTCACAGATGTTGGGTCGGGGCATGGCTTTAAATAAGCTAGCTTTGAGTTGAGATTCCACGAATGAATGATGTTAATATATCAGGCAACACAAACGGAACATTTTTCTTTAAAAGAAGAAAACAAAGGCCCTACTAAACGAAAAGAATTACAAAATACAAAGATGAAAACTGTACACAAGAATGATATGAAAAAAAAAAGCACAAGAAATGGTGTTTTGGAATGATTGCCCAAACTACCACTCTAAAGGGGAAAGGGTAGCTACCAAGCTAAAATTGACGAATCATTCCAAAAACATTTACAAACGTATTGGCTAATAATAATAATCCTAACTACATCCCCCCACTAAACCCCTACAACAAACTGTCTCATCGATCCCACATTGCATGGAATTTTGCTGGTCTATGCTTCAACCATTGCATCATCTCTCTGTCCAGTGAACTATTATTTAAGACTGCATCTAGCATTGGACTGCCAAAGATTTTCGTACTAGTTTTGAATGTCCATATTCGGTCCTTGGGCCACGGTCTCTGGGGTTGCTTCTCCTGCACCAATATGAACCATATTAAAACAGAAGCCACGGAGTTCCTGTAAACCAGTGCATGTTCCTATAGATGGCAATAAACTTTCCAGTCAAATACTATCAGTCCTCTACATACGAGTCAACTGTGGGAATGATACTTTTCTATTCACGATATAAAGGATAATTAACAAATACACTGGCAAATCAAAGATCATCCAATTCACAATATAATCAGGTTAGAAATTCAGGTATGTCATCGAAAACAGTATTAAATAGATAGCCCTCATCCGCAGCATGAAAGTATCAGCATAACCTCACTCACTCTGCAATGATGCACAAAAACCATCCAAGTAATTTACAAAATGGCCAACTTAAAAGCGTTGTGGAGTATTCTCAATACTTGAAATCCAAGAATTCAAGACAGCATTTGCATCATCACAAATGGATGAAAGAAGCTTACCATCCAGGACAGCATAAATTTGACGGTCTTTGGGTCATAAACAAGATGCTTTGATGGCTTCTGAACCTTGGAATAGAAGCAACCAATGTCAGGTAATGACAAGCAACCCCTACTTACTCTAAACAGGCTGCTATCTGGATCTACGCTGGTCTGGTTATACCAAAATATCAGCTGCCCCAAACAATAGTTTTCACCATATGTCTTGCAATATTCCCGCAAACCTGTGAACTTGTCGGAGTACTTGGGGCTCAGGTCAAGAGGACTAATGTAGACTGGGGGAGAAGTTACTGCTTTGTATTCCTGTCCATAAAATGATTGATTAGATCAAAAAGATAAACAAGACAATAACATTCTCCAGTTCACTGCCCCCTCTCCCCCTTTCACACATACACAAAAAGGTTTATGAGTTTATCAGAAAATATTAGTAAAAGGACTCACCCGAACTCTTATGAAGCACTTAGTGTAAGCATAATATGGATCAAGTCAGCGGCGGCATCATGCCGGTACTTATATGTGCAAGGAAGATTCCGAACCTCGTCCCTCAACCTTCAAAACAAAGGAACGATTGAAGATCAAATCTTTACTGAAATTAAACAGCATGGGGACGCCTTTAATGAGGACATTGCACACACCATAACAAAGATCTGTGAAGTTCTTTAAGAATGTTGTCAGACCATGATGAGTCACGGGCTTGAATCTTGGACCTCAAATCATTGAGTATAGCGTCTTCCACATGAGGAGCCATGCACTGAAGAAGCTCCTCGACAAGTGACCCCTCGCCTTTCCAGAGAAAGGATACAGCTTCTTCAGGACTGAGCCTCTCTAGGGGAGGTGGAGCCTCTTTGGGGTCACCAAACACGCATCTCATAACATACCTCACCTAAAACAACACCAGAATTAACATATGGATAGTAATATAATATGATCAACATGTATATAATTCTCTGATAATACACGAATAGCCTCTACAAAATTTGATATCATTAAGGGTGCATTTGATTCACGGAATGTAAGATTACCAATGGGAATAAAAGATTACCAGGAAATAGGATTATTGGGAATGTTGTATTTTGTGTTTGGTTGGTTTAGCAGGAATGTAAAATTACCGTGTTTTGTTAAAAGAATAAAAGATTATTAGAATGTATATTTGACTAAATTGTTCTTATTATATATTTGTTTTTTTAATAAGTTAAAAAATATTTATATATTTTCTTTAAAAATTTTAAATTAATAAAATTTATATAATATTTTTACAAAATTGAAAATATAAAAAGGTTTAATAAGAGGATAAAATTTTATTTTAACCCCTGAACTTCATATAAAATTTTAATTATAAATTTTTTTGTAAATCTAAAATAGTTTAAGGATAAATTTGTAATTTAACATTCGTATAATTTTATTATTCAATGACAGAATAAGGATATTTTTGAGAAAAAAAATTTTAAGAGCATTTTAGTCCAAAACGCCGATAATCCAACAATACCTAAGAAAAGGAAGTAATGACATTCCCGATAATATATCCCAAAAATCCACTATTGGTAATGTAAGATTACCAAGAATGACATTCCCGACCAACCAAACGGGGGAATGTGGATTTCATTCCCATGGGAATCTCACATTCCCCCAACCAAACACTTCCTAATAGTAATGTAATGATTTCAAAACATAAAGATGACTACCATCCAACCATTAGACCAAACGAAAACAAGAGTAATCCATGAATTCTGAAAAGTTTGAACTTAAATATTTTTAAAGCTTAGCTCTTCAAAGTAATAAACACCACTTCGAAGTACAAATTACTATATGGCCCATCACATTACATGCTACCATAATTTATCATGTAGGAGAGTATTTGAAAAGCATGCAGCCACATATGTTATTCAGAGACAGGGTAATCACCTTGTCAAGGGTTATAGCCAAATTCTGAAGCCTCTGGTTATAGACGCCCTCAGCCTATCTCATTCAGCAGAAAGTATACAATGAGCATTTAAATTTTAACAGTAAGCATAGAAAGCTCCAAACAAACATGGGTAGACATGAGCAAAGGCACAAAGACAGCAACATACCTGAATCTCAGCATCGTTCCTCTCTGCATCAAGAGATATATCTATACAGTATTTCCGCTTCTCTTCCAAATTATGCCTTAAAATTTGCTCAGGGAGCTTTGTTCTCTCAAAATTTATAAACCTCACCTACACCAGAAAGGAAACGTTAGGAGAATAGAATTTCCCCACTTTCACTTCCAAAAAGGAGGCAAAGAAATGACATGACAGAAAACCAAAAACATACCACTCGAGCTGAGTATGCAACCAACCAATCAGGCAATCCACCAAGTAAACAGCCGCTTAGGCCAGCCCTCCCTAGCTCAAGGTAATCTTCTTCAGATACAGAATTTAGTTCACAAGCTTCCAGCATTAGCTGTTGTCGATCCAATATACCATGCCACTCCTTCAGTACCTGATGAACAACAAAATTCCTATAATAACTTTTTCGAAACTCAAACGAGAAAAGATGAATTAATTCAACAGTAGGCAATAAGGAACATATAATTTCGTTTTCACAGCCAATAAAGAAAAGAGAAAATAATCTCAGTGACCGAAAATGTCTTATAATATACGATTTTGACTAACTTTTTTTCGATTTGCCAAAATGACCAACAAAATCGCAATGCAATCTCTAAATTGCAACGCGATCTCCAGTATCGCAAATCAATTTCCAGATTCGCAACGCGATTTTGACTATCGCATTGCGATTTTTCCAAATTCGCGTTGCGATCGCGAATTTGGAAAAATCGCAATGCGAATATGAAAATCGCAACGCAATCTCCAGTATCGCAAATCAGTTTCAAGATTCGCAACGCGATTTTACTATCGCAACGCGATTCTGACTATCACAACGCGATTCTGACTATCGCAATGCGATTCTGACTATCGCAACGCGATTCTGACTATCGCATTTAATACAAAATCGCAATGCGATTTTCCAAATTTACGTTAGTCCAAATTCGTTGCGATTTCTTAAGAATTTTCTCTAAAAAGATAGTATCCGCGCGGACGTGTCGAAGACACGTATTACCACGACCACGACCCGAGATGAGACGAGATGGCGGCGGTGCGCGAAAGTCCCCCTTGTTCTCTTCCACTCAACAAGGAAGTGGGAAATCCAAGCCTTAAATACTCATTCCCTATAGTGTTTTCAATACTATGTGGGATTGAGCATTGCAAACACTTGAGAATCTTTTACACTATCGCAACACATTCTTTATTGTTTCAAACTAAGATCTTACAAATGGCTTGGGAATTTTTTACACTATCGCAACACATTCTTTATTGTTTCAAACTTCACACGAATTTTGGAATAGTTAAAATGTAAACTTATTTTAGATTTTTCACTATCGCAACACTTTTTCACTGTTGCAACAACACGTTTTTCAAACTCTCGCAACACATTTTAACTATCGCAACACATTTTTCAAAATCGCGTTGCGAATCTTACAATCGCGTTGCGAATCTGGAAACTGAGTTGAAAAATTAGAGTTCGCGTTAAGATTTTGTTGGTCATTTTGGCAAATCCAAAAAAAGTTAGTTAAAATCATATATTATAAGACATTTTCGATCACTGGGGTTATTTTCTCTAAAGAAAATATCATTTTAGTTTCTTCAAAAAAAAAGCCTCATGAGAATGTGTACCTTCTGAAATGCACCTTCACCGGTCAAATTCAAGTAGCTGCCACGGCAAACTTGACTACCACATAGACAGACAGATGCTTCATATTCTTCCTTGCTCTAATAAGACAAGTATCAATCATGACCTATAAGAACATATAAATTATCTTGTTCAATAAAGCTAGAAGGACAGAAGATTCAAACCTCTGTAACGGAGTTATAATCAAATGTAATCTCCTCGCCATACCGTATTGGACGTAGAGCATAGATTCCAATTTGGTAATGACCATCTACAGCAGTAACTCTGCATCCAAGAAAAGGTAGATGATAAGATAAAATATAGGAAGCAATATCTTGGTACTATGAAAGGAACTAGA